GCCCACAGGCTACAACAAGAGCATATTGCTGAGCAGTGTCTACAACAGCCCCTGCACAGAGAAGGAGAGGCCCAGCCTTGCCCTCAACACCACCATCACTGTGGTTGGCACCGGGAATGGGAGCCTCTGCACTCTGCACGTCAGCAAGCTCTTCGACTTCACCACCTGCTCCTTCTCCCGCTGCTCCTTCGATGGCATTTTCCAGCCGGAGGTTTCGGGAAATTTCATCGTAAGTCCTGCCATGGAGCAGGGTGTTGGCCTGGCTGTTGGGTGGGCAGGTGTCCCCAGGCCTCAGCATCATGCCTGGCAAAGCCAGACCCCCAACTCTGTGAGGGTGGTCACTTGTGCCCACCACAGCTGTTCACCTTGAGAGGGTTTGCTGCCAGCCTGTCCCACAGCTGCCTCCTTTCCTCCATCAGGCCTTCTCTGCCTTCTTCTACACGGTTGACTTCATCCAGACAGTGATGGGGAGACCCATACACTTGCCCAGTGACCTGAGAGATGCTGCCGAGACCATCTGTGCCACCAGCTGGAGCGAGGTGGGCTCGTTGGGCACAGTGGGGAGGAGAGGGCTGCTCCTCATGGGCATCATCACCTGGGCTCTAAGAGCAGCCCTTCCAGGGGGCAAGATGTCCTGGCACCCATGGAGCAGGGGGAGGGTGGGTGACAGCTCCTACATGGCACCAGGAGAGACTCAGGTGGGTATGAGCAGCACTTTGGCCAGCCACATGCGACCAGACAAAGCTTCAGGCCACAGAAAGAAAGCCTGGACTCTGTTGGCTTGACCCCTTTTCTCTCCCTCCATGCCTCCCATCCAGCTGCTCCAGAAAGCCCCCACGCTGGAGAAGAGGCTGCCGGATTACTGCGCTGTCAGCACATTTGTTTATTTGCTCACCACCAAAGGCTATAACTTCAACAACCATTCCTTCCCCAACATTGCATTCCAGAAGAAGGTGGGTAACACCAGAGCACATGCTCATGCCAAGGTATCTGTTTGGAGCTAGGCCAAAAGACCTGCAGAAGAATATTTCAGGGAACAGGGGCAGGATGGGACTCCCAGTTTTTGGGTGGATCTTCTAGGAGATGGAAAAAAAAAGGAGCTAAGCTGTGGTCATGGAGTCAGGTCCTCCAGTCCTTCCTTGGCCCTCAAGACACCAGCCATCTGAAGCAACCTTTTGCTCAGGCTTTTTGGGAAGTTATCTCAGGGCAGGGTCCCAACTTTGCCCTCACCTGCATGAGCCATGAGATGGGCAGTAAGATCAGGACTGGCCTAAGCCGACAAGATCTTGCTCCCATCGGATGAGCCCAGCTCCGCACAGTATGGTCACTGCTTCATGTCTGGGCTGGCTTGACCTGTGGGCAAGCAAGGACTCAGGGTGGCGTGGACTCCCTCACTCCCTTGGGCTGACACTGAGGTCATCCCTGGAAGGTATTTTGAGGCTGGTGGAGCTGGGTTGACCAGGTGGTGCCCATGCCATGCTGTTTCCACAGGCAGGAGAAACCTCCATTGGCTGGGCCCTGGGCTACATGCTGAACCTCACCAACATGATCCCAGCAGAGAAGCCCTCTTCCCACAAAAGCATGATGTACAACTACTGGGTCATCCTCATCCTGCTCTTCGTGTTCACCACCCTGACATCTCTGGCGACTGCCGTCTGCCTGCTCCGGCGCAGCAAGTCCAGCACAATCTAATGGCAGAGCCAGGGAGAACCTTGTCTGCAGGACCCAGGTCCTCCCTCCTGTTGGAGCCTCCATAGCCTGAACACCAGGGATGCAGCAAGTGCTCACAGCTGTTGTCCTTCTCCAGTACCCTACACTGCCTGTCCCTGAAGGGAAGCTATCCATTTCTGCCCTCTCCTTGTTTCAAGCTGCATAAAGGGGGACAGAAGAGGACTGCTGGCCCTGCAGGAGGATGGGTTAAGGGTTTCCCAGTGCTACTCAGGGATGGACCCCAAAGCAGGCTCAGGATCTGGATTTTCAGACTTGGGGCATCTTTCTGTCACTAGCTTCTCTGGGTAGCCTGTTCCAGTGTCTCACCATCCTTACAGGGAAGAATTTCTTCCTAATGTGTCACCTAAATCTTCCCTCCTCCAGTTTTAATCCATTATCCCTTGTCACCCAACCACTAAACCACCTCCCTCAGCACCACTTTCACCCATTTTTGAACATCTCCAGGGATGGTGCCTCCACCATCACCCTGGGCAGCCAGTTCCAAGGCCTCACCACTCTTTCTGTGAAGAAATTTTTCCTAATATCCAATCTGAACCTCCCCTGGCACAGCTTGACCCCATTTCCTCTTATCCCATCACTGGTCTCCAGGGAGAAGAGCCCAACACCCACCTCACCACAACCTCCTCTCAGGTAGTTATAGCCAGCAATGAGGTCTCCTCTTCTCCAGGCTGAACAGCCCCAGCTCCCTCAGCCTCTCCTCATAGAGCTGTTCTCCAGACCCCTCATCAGCCTTGTTGCCCTACTCTGCACCCTCTCCAGCACCTCTGTGTTCTTCCTATCCTGTGGTGCCCAAACCTGCACATAGTGCTCAAGGTGCAGCCTCACCGAGGCTGAGCAGAGGGGCAGGATCACCTCCCTGGTCCTGCTGGTCACACTATTCCTGATGCAGGCCAGGACGCTCTTGGTCTTCTTGGCCACCTGGGCACCTCCTCCAGGCCCAAGAGCAATGCATGCCAGTTAAGAGGAAATCAGGTAAAAACTCCATGAGGCCAGTGTGGATGAGCAAGCAGCTCCTAGAAAAGCTCAAACATAAGAAGGAAGCATAGAGAGGGTGGAAGCTCGGGCAGGTACCATGGCAGGACTACATAGAAGTTGTCCAAGCAGCCAGGGGTCAGGTCAAGAAAGCCAAATCCCAGATAGAATTAAATCTCACCAGGGATGTAAAGAGCAATAAGAAATACCTTATCTAGGTATGCTGGGGATAAAAGGACAACCAAGGAAAATGTAGGGCTTCTCCTGAAGGAAAGAGGAGACTTAGCTAGGCAGGATATTGAGAAGGCTGAGGTTCTCAAGGACTTCTTTGCATCAGTCTTTTCTGGCAAGTGATCCAGCCTTATCACAAAGGCCACAGCAGCTGAAAGCAGGGCCTGGGAGAATGAAGGACACCCCACTGAAGGAGAAGAGCAGGTTTTGGACCATCTAAAGAACCCGAAGATGCACAAGTCTGTGGGACCTGATAAGGTCCATCCACAGGTCCTGAGGGAGCTGGTGGATGAAGTTGCTGAGCCTCTGTCCATCATATCTGAGAGGTCATGGCTGTCCGGAGATGTT